CAAGCGTCTCACTGGTCAACTTAATATACTTGAACCCATTGACGTAGATTTAAACTCTTTAAATCGGAATTTTATCTGTACTTCTAACGACTCCCCTTCTCGCCCAAACGAAATTTACCTACCACCATGTGACTTTACTCCTGTGACTGTGACAACAGTGGAACACCATCTCAAAAAGATTCGCGGGTCAACGGCGGCTGGGCCGGACGGTGTCTCTCCTTTTCTCCTTAAGTCTTGCTGTTTGCAGATAGCTCCCGTCTTGACTCACCTTATTAATCAATCCTTCATAGAGTCCAAGATTCCTGACGTCTGGCGTACAGTAAGAATTACTCCAATCCCTAAAAAATCTTTAACTTTTGCTCCCAAATCTTTCCGTCCTATTGCCTGCTCTTCTGCACTCCTGAAACTAACAGAACGAGTTGCATTAGATTCCCTTAAGTCCTCCTCCGTCAATTTTTCTGATCCTCTACAATTTGCATACAAGGCAAAGCTGTTGCTTTAGTTGTTCATTCAGCTTTGAGAGACTTAGACAAGGGATGCCGTGCATATGCATGTGCTTTTCTTGACTACTCATCCGCCTTCAACACTATTCCGCGCCAACTCCTCCTGACCAAAGCAGCTGCGTGCGACACTCCGAGCTGGGTTGTCTAAGTCAGTTTAAGTCAGTTTATTAAGGGCATGAGGCTTTCGCCCTTGAGCACCCTATTCATGTCGATAAACAGAAATAAAGTCATCAATTACATCAGCAAATGCGAAACGTTAAGAAGTTAGCGGTAACTGTGAGCCAGGCGCAAACTGCCGCCGCTAAAACAATCATGATTGTATGTACAGTAGGTTCTCAACAAGTGAGCGTCTAGTCTGCACTTAAAGGATTTAACACTTTCGGAAAGAACGACGGCATCAGGGAGTCCATTCCATGCCCCGATGACCCTGTGTGAGGCGTTCCGTCGGACGTCCGAATGAGCCCGCTTCCTTTGCAGTTTGAACGGATGACCACGCAGACGGTCAGTCCGGGCCAATTCAAAGAAGTCATCAAAATCTAGGGCACACTCACGGCTTCTGACAATCCTGTAGGTTTGAATGAGATCGCCGCGCAGTTGCCTGTAATTTAGAGGAAACAGATTTAGTTCAGTCAGCCTGGTTTCGTAAGGCAAATGATGAAGATTCTTGACCATCTTCGTAGCCATCGCCTGTACTCTTTCCAGTCGTTGATAATCTTTCTTTAACCACGGTCGCCAGGCCTGGACTGCATACTCTAAATGAGACCGGACGAATGCCCCATAGGTTTTTCCGAACAGCTCCTTGTCGATCTGCACAAATCCTCGCCTCAGCGCAAATAACACCCTTATCGCACTTTTGGCTGCCCTTTGACACTGTGAAGATGGTTTCAGCGAGGAGGTCATAAGGACTCCCAGGTCTTTCTGTTCCACAACATTTGAAAGGGACTGACCACCAAGGACATATTGAAAGGAATCGTCCTCCTTACTGGTCTGTCTGGTGCGGAGTCTCAGGACCACACATTTGTCCACATTAAAATTGAGGAGCCAGCGAGCTGACCAACTGTTTGGGCGGTTGAGACTGTCTTGAAGCGCGTACCAGTCTGCATCAGATCTGATGGGTCTCCACAGCTTAACATCGTCAGCAAACATGATGGCGCTGCATCCCAGGTCGTCAACGCAGTCGTTAATGTAAACCAGGAATAGCAACGGCCCTAAGACGGAGCCCTGGGGTACACCACTTAAAACGGGAGTAGGAGTTGACCTTGAGGCCTCAACGCACACGGTTTGCGATCTCCCGGTAAGAAAATCTGTTATCCATGTCAGCAGCGTTCCTCTTATCCCAATTTCAGAAAGTTTGTAGATAAGGCGATTGTGTGGGACGCTGTCGAACGCCTTCTTAAAGTCTGTGTATATGACATCAACCCTCCCATCCTCATCCAGTGCGCGAGTCCACTGCTCCGTCGAGAGCAATAAACTGGAAAGACACGAGCGGTTCTGTCTAAAGCCGTGCTGCAGGTCTGAGGTTAAATGGCCCTGCTCCAGGAACTCCATAGTGACTTAGAGATTATTTTTCCTCCCGCACTCAGTTTGTCCAGTCGGGAAAGAGAAAATCTTCTATTCTTCCAAATAATTGTGGAGTTCTACAAGGTTCCATCTTATCCCCTCCTCTTTTCTCCCTACATACTGATGATTTGAGATCGCCAAACGACTGCCTGTATGTTAAGTATGCCGATGACATGGTCGTAGGCCACCCACTCAAAAACCTGACTCACCTACAGTCTTTAAAGGATGGCTTAGATCACGTCTCCTCATGGTATTCGAATAATGGACTCCTAATCAACAATCATAAATCAGTACAGTATGTGTTTCGATTGCGACCCTCTCCCATTCCTGAACCTTTGGATATTCTTCCCAATGAGGTATCTTCTTTCCGGGACCTAGGTATTACTTCATCCTTAAATCTCTCTTTCTCTCTTCATACGGAAACTCTTTTAACAAAAATTCAAAAACTTGTTTATGACATTCGTCGTCTACGTTCATATCACACACCCCAGTCCTTAATCTGGCGATTCATCGATGGCTGTATTCTTCCACTCATTCTTTATTGTTCTCCAGTTATTTTTCCAGCTTTACTTAAAAAAGATCTAATTATTTTTAAACGTGTCATTCGAATGCTCGCCTCTGCTGCTGGTGTTTCCTATCATATTTTAGTTGATATCATCGTGCGGCGACACTTCAACTCGGTGGAGCAATTCGCTGACCAAGTTCTGAATAACACCGTCCATCGCCTTCATAATGAGTTAATGGCTGCGAAATCCTTGCGCCCCATGCGTCGATGCTTCCGCCAAATCCTTTGCCGCACTTCGGCCTATCGGAATTACATACTGCCATTTCTAACCCGGTATCACACCTGCAAAGATGTTAAAAACAAAAACTAAAACTCGATCTTGCACCTTAAAGTCTTTTTTTCTTCATATATAATCATGTCCACCTGTCCAAAACCTGTTAATCTCGATGGTAATCACTGTGTACTGGAGAACCATTTTTGCTGAAAGTTTTGAAAGTTATTTTTAAAATAAAGCAGTCCTCTCTCTCTCTCTAAACAAAGCTGGTAAACGGTCTAAAAAGCCAATCCTACACAGACAGACTGAATTGCCTTAACTTATTTCATCTGTGTTACAGGCAGCGAAGAGGTGATCTCATCCTCGTCTACAAGATAAAACATGACCTTGAGCGTGGACTTAGCTTTGAGGACATGTTTCAGTGGCACCTTTCACTCAGTATTCGTGGTCACTCGATGAAGTTACGAACAACAATGCCCAGGCTGAATCTTCGCTCTGAATTTTTCACGCAGAGGGCATTGCAGAAATGGAACGATCTCCCTCAGTCAGTCGTGGAGGCTACGTCTCTGCAACTCTTCAAGAAACGCTTGGATAATTATTTGTGCTCCCTGTTCTCCTTCGACAGTCTGAATGTGAACTAATATCCCACGACTCCGCAATTTCTTCTCTAAGACAATGCTACTCAAATGAATCAAGTACTTTTTTAATATAGAGTATTTTCATTGTTCGTGTGCAGTTATTTCTAACGAGCTGACATGTAACCAATAGGGTTTTCAAAGACTTTGCCTATAATCGTTACCAAATAAACTGAAAATAAACTGAACTATCATGCCAAATGCGCCAACTCACCGGCACACGTTAACGAGCTTACTCCAAAAGACCCTCTGGCGGACGCCCTAACTCCAGCCCTGCATAGATCGCATCACCAGCCCATTACGCGGCCCAAACGACCCCTGTCATCATTAACGCGCTCATAAACCGAATGTGTACTGGATCCTGGCATTCATTCTATTGTTGACCACACTCTCGATCCCTCGCTCTATTCGGTATCAGGGGAGAGTTCGGGCGCCTAAAGCGACATTAAACCTCCTGTCCCAGGCGCCTACGTCGTTCTAGGAGTCATGCGATCGCAACTCCCGAGCACCAGGACGCTAACACATCCAGCCTCGCGGACGGCCAATCATAGGCGCCCACGAACCCTCATATCACCCCGTCAACTGACCAGGCTGACAATTACTGACTCCCATGTGACGGTTTTTCACTCACACCCACATCACCCTAACATACGGACGCGCGCTAGTATACAGCCGACCCTGCGTCAGGGGCTCCAAAGGCCAGCAGGCTTCTGTACAGAATATATTTCTCTTACTGGTGCCTTTTTCATCCTCTTCTGAAGAGGGACTGGGTCGTGCTTATCATGGCTCAGTACACACTTCAGATTCGCCACAAGCTTATTCCCTACCAATGCTCGAAAGCAAAAGTAAAAAGTAAACAGAATTTGGTCCGGTCGAGCGTGATTTCATAACCTTGATGGCGCGAATATACAGACGTTCCCTTATGAAGCTAAGTTCTCTGTTGTCAAAAGAACTGTCATTGTCCCCATGACCGAAGTCACCTGGGTTGTCAGGCACTAGTTACGTGGTTACACGACACAATCTGGCGGACTAGCCAAATGAGTTTGGTTAATATTTCTTCCGGGATTCGGTCAATGAGGATTGAAAATGCAGGACCAGTAACTGTGGCAACCGAGACCTATAATATCGACAAATTCGTATGTAGAGAGAGAGAGAGCGAGAGAAATTTTGAACTTATGATTTCAAAATAAAGCGACTTCCTCTTTCTCTCTCTCTCTCCGGTAATGCGGATAGCTAATGGGGTAGGAATTAGCTATATTGGCTAAACCACCGATAGGATGATTTCCAAATAATTCCTCAGAGGACATTGATGCGTATAATCTGATGCTATGCTTAGGTTTCCACCCTCAAAGATCCAGTCGAGTAAATTTGCGAGGAACAGAATTAAAGATGTCTTCGTCCATACCGAAATAAGAATTGTTAAAATTGGTGCCCTCGTCCGTCAACCAATAAGAGTTGCAGGTTGTTGAATTTGCCCTCCATTGTCGCGCAAGTTCGTTTGTGGTTTGTGCTGTTCACCTGTTATGGGTGGAAGGTCTCGCTCTCCCAGAAGGTAGTGTCTTTTTATTCGTTTTAATGTTTCCAGTGGCCGGAGAAAGTCGCCAGGTCAAAGACTACGGCCAGTGGACTGGAAGAACGAGCGTTTAGTCAAATTTGAGAAGGAGTTCTATCGCGAGTCGTCCAGCGTTCGAAAACGCAGTTCAGCTGAGATTAAACAGTTTCGCAAGGATTCGAAAATAACTACTGAGGGAGAAGATGTTCCAAGGCCAATATTTAAGTTCTCGGAGGCCGGGTTTCCGAAGTCAGTCATGGACGTAATACGGGATAATAAGTGGAAAAACCCAACAGCCATCCAGGCACAGGGCTGGCCCATTGCTCTAAGTGGCAAAAATGTTGTGGGCATCGCTCAGACGGGTTCTGGGAAGACTGCCGCCTTCCTTCTTCCGGCTATTGTGCACATCAAGGCACAGCCGTCTATGAAGCGGCTCGATGGCCCCATAGCCCTGATTCTCGTGACTACGCGCGAACTGGCGCAGCAAGTCGAGAAGGTTGCCCGTGAGTTTTGTTCGAGTGCTGGCCTGAAATGTGCCTGCCTGTATGGCGGCGCCCCCAGAGTGCCTCAACTGAGACAACTAGAACGCTATCCGGAAGTGGTAATTGCCACACCAGGCCGTCTTCTGGATTTCCTGGAAACGAAGGACACCAATCTGCGTAGATGCACATACCTGGTCGTGGATGAGGCTGACCGCATGCTCGACATGGGTTTTGAGCCTTCGCTTCGTCGAATAATATCGCAGGTGCGTCCGGATAGACAGACCCTCATGTGGTCTGCTACTTGGCCGAAAGAAGTGCGGTCACTCGCGCGCGATTTCCTTCAGAAGTTTGTCCAAATCAACATTGGATCACAGGATCTATCCGCTAACCACAACATAAAACAGATAGTGGAAGTCATTCCTGAGTCGAAAAAGTACGACCGGCTTGTCCTCCTTCTCAAAGAATTCGGGAAAGCAAAATCGATCATTTTCGTCGAAACCAGGAAAAAGGCGGACGAACTCTGCTACCGTCTTTACGATAGAGGATTTGCTACAGCTGCAATGCATGGTAACAAACAGCAACGCGAGCGAGAGGCAGTACTAGACGGTAAGTTATCTTACACGAAAATCATCTTCGTAGATTTTAGGCGCGGCAAGGTCAATATACTTGTGGCAACGGACATCGCCTCGAGAGGATTAGGTGGGTCGCCTTATGACACCGATTATCGTTTTTGATGTGTATTGCGTAACTGTTCTTGTAACACCTCTTCAAAATGCTTAATAGGCGGACCGGACCCCGAGCAGTTCACTCAGAGCGCTCTCGGCGTTCTGTTTCGAAAGTGTTTGCGTGCCGTGTCGCCCAGGCACACGCATTTTCAATCCATGCGCGCAGGGCTTTCCGCCAGTGTCCCTGCCGTTTCTCCTCCCTCGACAGCTTCATAGCTGCCGCATGTACCCGGCCTAACCACTGACGTAGCCTCTGCTACGGTGCGCCTCAACTGTTTCTCCTAACCCGGACCCCCTCTGGGTTAGGAGGCCTGTGTATCGGCCCCGCCATCTTTCGTTTGGGGGCAGTATGGATTCTTTGCAACAGGGGAAGTGGTGTGCACAATCGAGGTGTTGTTGAACGCCACCCTTGTGCTGAGGTCTGATGCCGACTTTCGTCGGTATCTTGGGCGAACAATCCACCCGCTTTAATGTGTGCCCTGCGCACGGTAATTTTTCAGCATCGTTTATATGCTCTGATTGAGTCACAGTGTTTTCTTTTTGATGTTGTTAGCCTTGACACCGATGCTTTGTTCCCACAGATATTCAGGACATAGGTTACATAGTCAATTACGATTACCCGACACATGCCGAAGACTACGTTCACAGAATTGGGAGAACTGGACGATGTCACAATAAAGGAACTGCCTATACTTTCTTTACGAGTGACAATCCACGCACAGTAAGCCATTTTACTATTCTATTTATGCTTCAATAGGCTCATCAGTTGGTGAAAGTCCTGGAGGAAGCGAAACAGAAAGTCCCAAAGAAACTAGAAGACCTTGCCTCATATGTTAGCGGCGGTGGACGCAGTAGATATGGGGGCCAAAACGGAACCAAGGAAGTCCGTCGGTGGCGCAGGGCATCTTCTAGTGAGTCAGATTCCCATAGGCGATCCAGATCAAAGTCAAAAAGGCGTTCAAGATCTCGCTCGCCCCGACGAGCAAAAAAGACGTCACCGAAGCCCAGAGCCCGGAGTCGTAGCCGTTCTCATTCTGTCAGTCGGTCTCGACATCGTCATCGGTCACGGGACTCCGCCTCGCCCGAGAAATCTAAGTCCAAGAGAAAGCATGCCCGTTCTCCCACGCCCGAAAAGAAGAAAGCCAGGAAGCATTCACGGTCCGAGTCAAGCCGTTGTAGTAGTGTTTCTGTGAAAGCAAAACGACGACGTCATTCCTCACACAAGTCGCCAACAGAACGAGCTCCAGCCACCCGTTCGGAGTCATCACAGGGTCGTTCCGCTGCCAAAGGTAGTTCTGGACCCAGTTATTCTGTTTACAAACTGCGTACTGAGCGGGATGCCTCTGCTTCTAAGGCGGCCCGTCGGAGCGATCGCTCCTCTCCAAAGGAGCATAGTCGCCGTGACCGCTCGGTCTCGAAGGGTCGCCGCCGACGTAGTCGTTCTCATTCCACCAGTAAAAAACAGCACACTCATTCAAGTTCGAAGAAACGCAGTCCGCGGGATCATTCGTTTTCAAAGAAATCCAGTCGACACGATCGTTCTGTTTCTAAGGAAGCCGACCGTTCAGTATCAAGGGAAGATATACGGCACGGCCGTTCTGCCTCGAGGGAAGGTGATGTACGCAGTCGCTCTGCCTCGGAGAGTCCCCAGCGCAGTCGGTCTGTATCGGAGGAAGCTAGCCACCTTAATCGTTCCCTGTCAAACGAACGCGACTGGCCTGAACCTCTAATTATCCATCACTCCTCCGGCTTAAACCACTCGATGTCTGTTTCCGGTGACGAACGCCGTTCCAGTAGTGGTTCTCGTTCTCGTTCATCCTCCGCGATTAGGAGGAAACATGTTAACGGAATCCGGAGCCCCTCTGAGGAGTTTTATCGTGACAGACAATCATCCGAAGAATCGCCCAGGCGCAGTCGGGGCTCGTACGAAAGTCGTCGATCATCGGTAGTCAATTCCTAAAATTTTTAACTGCCACCTTCTTGAAATGTTGTCTATACACCTACTTCATGTAACATATGCTGTAAATTAAAAGAAAGTACCTACGTTAAACCCGCTGTCCATTTGCTCTCGTCAGTGTTTGGGGCAGTGTAGACTGTCTACTACCGGGTGGCACGCGATTCCAAGCTTTTGCATTTCTCAGACTCCTGCAGATGGTCGTGTCTTTGACGATTACTGTACAGCACCTGCTTCCCAGAAAAGCTTTGTGTTGTCGGCTCACGTGGCTACTATGGCCGGCAGCCAGCCGACGGTGTTTTTCTGAAACTACTTTGTCGTGGCTCCGTTCCGCTTAACCGCAGCTTATGACCAGTTTTATTCTCGGACAGGCTGTCTACCAGTGAGTGTTTTCTCATAGGAGTCCAACTGCTTTCGAATGTCATCGAGAAAAAGTAGTATGCCTTCCCAAGTTCGCTTTTGCCGTCTTATAAACTGAGATTTCTAGAGTCACCAAGTATACTGGCTTTGCCAATTGAAGTGAAGAGATGAGTCCCAGGAAGCAGTCTTGAAGGAAGAGACACGATCTCTAGGACAAGAGCTTTATTCTCCTGACGTTCCCATTTAATACTCGGCGCTGAGACTTCGCCTAGGCGAAGTAATTAGGCACGCGGGGAGCGCACAGGTGCACACTTGTCCCAACATGAGGGTCGATGCGTCAGATGGTCGAGCAATGGCGACTGCATCCTATAAATACTGCAGCCCCTTGTGCATGAACTACCCGTATCTGCTTTTGTCTCTGATGATGGGTTCGAGCGGGAATCCGGAACGTCAGGCGAATAAAGCGGTCATGTCTCCTTCAATACTGGCTTTTATCGTACAGGCAGCTCGTGAGCCAGATGTGTGCAAAGTATCAGACACACCGGAGTGGTCTACTAGGGGGTGCCTAACGCACCATAAGCCATCAGGTCGTAGAAAAGAGATCACTAGCTACTAAGGATTGGGTTCCCCGCATTCCTACGAGCTAGTACTATCATTCGCTGTTTGACTTTTTCATCCCTGCTAATTTTCGTGGCGTCATTATGCTCTACTCCAGACCGAAAGCCATTTATGGGTACTCGGGCCCGCATTGATCGCCACCGAAGGGGGATTTTCGCTTTTCGAGGTTAATGCCAAACAGACCTGGATGACAACCTCTGGCTTATTTGTGAGAATCTCAGGCCCACTTGGAGGCCATTGAACATTGAACCTCCAGTCTTATTGGACCCTCACTAGACAGGGCGGATGGTCAGTATTCTGCCTGGCATTCGGACGCATATAAGAGGGGCCTGAAATGGCTGTTTTTGGTCAAGCTGCTGCTGCCGCCGTCAGTCGTCCCCGGCACCCCCTCATCCGTTGGTCTTCACGGCCTGGCTCACGCTCCGTCGGCTGCGACGATGGATACTGTAGGTCACACGGTTGGCGTTTCATGATCAGGCTGGATTGCATTAAACTCGGGCTTTCTGTTTTGCATTTGGCTCCGATCATATCCTCTGGCCGGGGTTAGTG